CCCCCCCCCCCCCTTCCCCGCTTCGCGTGCATCACAGAATTTCTATTTGCGATCCTTTGTCGACATTTTTCGCCTTTTGCAATAGAAGGTTAAGTCTTCTCGTTGCTAAACAACACCGAGATCCAAATTTACGTCCGAAATGCTGAAAAGCAAACGCGTGTGTTGTTGTCGTTGTTGTTATTATTGTTGTTATTATTATTAACATTATCGTCTCATCATTATTGTTATTGTTGTTGTTATTATTATTATTATTATTATTATTATTATTATTATTATTATTATTATTGTCTCTTCTGTCACAGTCTTTGCTGGTGTTCTTTTTGTGCATCAGCCGGGCGCAAACCATGCACCTGGACCATCAGTCACTCAAGTCAGTCGTTCTGTTCATACACTACTTAGCACCTTCCTGAGGATTTGTGCAAATCCCAGCAAGCAGATCTTTGGGTCTCTGTCACAGTAGCTCTCTCTGATACTTTCTTGATGTTTTCTACCATCCCCTCCTTTACTGTACCATGCGCACCAAAATCAACAGCGATCAATTCGGTTTTCATCTGCCACATTCTCTGTATTTCTAGTTCTAGGTCTTTGTACTTGTTTTTCTTTTCGATTTCCTTCAATGCGATGTTTCTATCTGATGGAATAGTCATATACATAATAACAATAAAAAATAATAATAATTATACTACTACATGAGAAAATTCTGCAATTTGATTGGCTTAAAGCAGTGGTATTTCAGCTCAATTTGAAATACCTACATGTGAAAATTACAAACCTTTTGTGGGTAGTAGTATAAACATATAATAGCATGATTTGTACGTGATATTACGCATAAATACCACTCGCGATATTTCAAAATTGTCTCAAATTTCACTCGCCTAACGGCACGTGAAATTACGTATAACAATTTCGAAATATCACTCGTGGTATTTATGCCAAATATCACTACAAATCGTGCTTTTTCCTATACTACTAATAATAATGGGTTTTATGGCTCATTTAAAGAATTCTCAATGCGCTTACAATAGTAAATAAAATCTAAATGCAACTAGGATTACTGTATAGTAATTATTCCTAAAGAGAAAAGTTTTTAAACGTTGTTTAAAAGTAGAAACAGATTCAGAGTTTTTTATATGATCAAACAGTTAGCAGGTGGCATTCACTGAATCTTTAACGATGATGTCTGGTCTGTTCGCTGTTATAGTTCTATCAGTATTGACTGGCATGTCCCACATGATCATGGTGATGTTGTTGCCTTTATTGTGCATTACAGTCTCTGGCTTGTGCTCGTACCATTTGTCTGTAATTTCGATATCGTGATCTTAACAGATGCTCCAGTGGAGATTGGCTGCAGCTTATTAGTATTAGTATGATTATGATGATGATGATGATGATGATGGTGATGATGATGATGATTATTATTATTACAAGTTTAAAAGAGGTATATATTCCTTCTCTATGGTGATTGACAGTTTTCAAGGATGACTTTTTCGGTTTCCGTGTATAATTAAATCTTTAACTGATCGCAGCCGACTTAAAGCTCACAATAAACCCATTAATACTCTTTCACGTTTGGTCCATGCCGGGGAACGTTTAGAAATTTATGGACTATCGATCTCGTGGCCACCGACTGAACAGTATGACCGTACGATTCTCTCCCTGCTCGTAAGGTGTCTTCATATGTCGGGAAAACATTAACACAACATTGTTTATCATTATTTCCATTGTTTTAGGTTAGGGTAGCAAACCATTTGGCTTTTAGGGTTCGAAGAACTGCTACATGATACCTCTCCCCAGAATGAAGAAACACAATATGGCCGCCAAATACATCCTTAAAGCTTTGAAAGTTCTTCTTTATAAACAAACGTTGAACATTTATTTCGGCAAACAAACAGTAAAGGGTTGAAAAAGGATTTTACAAAAGTCTCAAAAGTAGGTCTCCTTTTCGATTTTAATTTGCAATATCGGTCGATTTACGCAACTTTTAAACTTCTGGCTCAGTTTTAGTTTGCTTCTGCCTTGAAAATGGAATAATAATTANCTCCCTGCTCGTAAGGTGTCTTCATATGTCGGGAAAACATTAACACAACATTGTTTATCATTATTTCCATTGTTTTAGGTTAGGGTAGCAAACCATTTGGCTTTTAGGGTTCGAAGAACTGCTACATGATACCTCTCCCCAGAATGAAGAAACACAATATGGCCGCCAAATACATCCTTAAAGCTTTGAAAGTTCTTCTTTATAAACAAACGTTGAACATTTATTTCGGCAAACAAACAGTAAAGGGTTGAAAAAGGATTTTACAAAAGTCTCAAAAGTAGGTCTCCTTTTCGATTTTAATTTGCAATATCGGTCGATTTACGCAACTTTTAAACTTCTGGCTCAGTTTTAGTTTGCTTCTGCCTTGAAAATGGAATAATAATTACTCAGGGCTAATAAAGTGTAAAGATTTATAGAGAAAGACAACAAAAACTTGCAGATTTATGGCGAAAAATGTAATTTTAAAAACGAACTAAAATATTGAAAACGCTCTGACACGTCACTGATGACGTCATGTCCCTCTTTTGGTAAAAAAAAATTGTCAGGTAGAACATTACTTTCCTGCAAATTTTCTCTGCCGTGTGATGAAACGTCAACTCTCTACAGCCCTCGGCCTAGTTTCCCGACTTTTTCGCTCATGTTCATTGCCCCCTTAAATTTTAAATTCCGGACGTAAACTAGTTATTTTTAAATGCTCCACACAACCAAACCCTCAAATATGCTATATTATTTTATTTTAACGATGAAATCTTGTCACAGCAACAAAAAACCCTGATTCAGCAATGGTCACGTGACTGATGACGTCATCACCCAAGATGTGATATGAGACGATATTTTATGGCAAATGTTATCTGTTGTGGTCTCACATTCTTTTACGTATAAAATTGTCAAAGTTATAAAGCTTTTAATTAGAAAAATGCCTCAAAGAATTTTGGGATAATTTTTATCATAATTATAATTTACTTTTATAATTATTATTATTCGCCTTACCGGTAGCCTGAATTTCAGGGGTGTCTAGAAAACGACGACCTAGAAAGCGACAACCTAGGAAACGACGACTTAAAAAACGAAGGTTAACTGAAGTCAAATTTAATTATAGTTTAATTGAAAAGAAATATAACCGGATCCGCTTCTTGTCTGTACGGGTTAAAGTCAAGCCAGCCCAGCTCGGTATGTCGCTGCTGCAAGTAGTATCAAATTCAAATCTACATTCCTGCATTCAACAGTGAATTTTTCACGATAACTTCTCTGTATTCGCCAGATTGAAAAATCTTTGAATAGATGACATGGCTATGAAGACATGTATGTATATATCTAGCCGATTTTTTGACAACCAACCTAACGAAATTTGCAGTCATTTGAGTGAAAAAGCGTCAAAAGGCACGTTTCTTCAAACCCGAGAAGCTCCAAAATCACAGTAACGAAGGAAAAGGAAAGGAGCCGAAAGAAAGAGTGAGAAGAAGGAAAGGAGGAGAAGAAAAAAAAGCAGTTGCACTCTTAGTTTTTGTAATAGCTACTTTGGAGATAATTTTTGGCCGAAAAAAACTGTTGGACGCAAAAGGTCTATTTGGCGATAACGTTATCAAAAATCCGGCTAGATATATATATATATATATATACTTTGTACAAAGGAGAATGGACTACATATGTTGATTTTAATCCTTTATTGACCCGACGCGTTTCGGCTTACGCCTTCTTCAGGGGTCTAAACTGCGTTCGGTATTACAGTTAATTATACTACGTGTTAAAGGTAATTTCATCCGTAAATTGCTTAATTGTATAGCATAATTGTGTATGTACATCAATTACGAATTTGCGGTATTTAGCGACCCTTACAACGTATGTTAAAAACATTTTGTGTACCCAGAACTTTGTCACCCAGTTTTCTTAAATTTGATATATTTATATATATATATATATATATATCAAATTTAAGAAAACTGGGTGACAAAAATTGCTTAACTTACTTCACTGCTCGCCCATACTCATTTAATACGCAAGCAGACATGAATCTGAAATCTACAATGTCAAGAAAGTCTTCTACGCACCGAACGAGGCGGTTTGTGCCGTGTCACGCAACTCCAAGATTCCAGTGGTGTTTGTGTACTGAGATATAGATCGCATAGAGCAAGTCGGGGGCCTCTGGACCGAAATAGAAATTTTTCTGATCGTAATCCACAATTAGCATTCATAACCGGAAGGTCTTCATGAGGTAATAAAATTTACGTTTTTTTTTCAAATGACAATTAAGAATTTTCTTGGCTTTTCAGCGGCTCTAACGGTTATTTGCAATCCATTGCAGTTAACAGAGATCTGAAGAAGAAAACTCTTCTTTTTTTTTTTTTTCGAAAAAGTTGTAAAGATTTGTCAATTTCGGCCTCTGAAACCCTTTTCAAGATGAAAAAAAAAAAGGTTGTAAGGGAGCCCTCAGGGGCGACCAACGACGGTTTCCTCCTAAATACTTTAAAACACTTTTCAGGCGATCCAGAGTACTTTTAGATCTCTAGAAATGTATTCTAAGTGAGTCTTTTCGAAATTAAAAGGGCTTCAGTACTACTTTCCCGAAAATTTTAGCTGCAATTTAAAGTTTTACGAAAGTGATAGTTTTCTGATTCCTCTCTGCATCGCATTTTCGATTCCGATAACCTGGGGAGTGAAATGGGAAAAATTAAGGTTTACATGATCGTATGGAATTTATTAGATAAGCTTCGAAAATTGTACATGAATGGTACGGTCATCTCAAAGTTTTTAGCCTTCCTTAAGCAATAGAAAATTCTAGGCAATTTTTGCTTCTCCGAACAGATATTTCGTAGAAAACAGTCGTTGGGTGCTCCTGAGCCCTCAGCCACGAGACAGTGCAAGTCACGAAGGCCGAACAAGCTTCTTCC